GACAAGGAGGGAAAGAGAAAGAGAGAAGGATCGTGCCTGAGTCACTGCTTATACGTGACTACGTCGACGCCGCTCCCATCGCTCCCGTCGCTATCCCCTTGCCTTTCCACCCTCCTTCACCATCCCCTTTTGCCACCTTCGATCTAACCCACCCTCCGTGTCGCATTCTCTGCAATGTTTCGTCGCTACATTCCCCTCCGAATGCGATACCTATACCCGCACCCGCCTACACGAACGACGGACACGTTCGAATAAATTAAAACGATTCTTTCCGTGACCTGCAACCTCATTTCGCCTTCCGCCGCCGTCCGAAGGCATCCTCGCCGACTTAAGAGTGATAAATAAAATTGGCGCGGTCTGTGACGAATTGCGCACCCGAGGCGCCTGTATACATTTATCTCGCCGTTTATTCTCGCCGCGATTATAACACTAGCGTGATTCTTGACGAAAAAAGACACGTTGAGTTTAACGTGTATGAATATATACATTATACTCGAGTTTCAAAAGTGTGCATATTTTATTGATGCGTCTGCTCTCGCATTTGATACAAACGTTACTCATGTACACGCACGCTTCGGAATCAATTGCGTTTTATTTGAAATATTATCTGCTTTTGCATTCTCAGGTACGTATGCGATAAACGATGTCGTCGTTAAAAATAGGTTTTCTAGTTGTGGTTTGGCCGTATAAAATGTTGCATTGGAAAGAAAGAGAGAAACAGTTATTTTTTAAATTAAAATTACTTCTTTATTTTACCTCTTTGTGCATGTACATAGGGATATGTAACTTTCTATGACTTTCAGAAGCTACTTTTTTTTTTTCAATTTTAGTACATTATATATTCGTTCACCTGATGAAACCGCAAAAATTTGTTAATATATAGTTATTACCAAGCTAGTTTGTCTTATACATAAATTTAAATTGATTGTGTTTTATACTCGAACATTATCAACAGTTAATCTCATTCGCGTTCAGAGCATGTTTAACGAGGATTATTTGCAGTATTTTCACCAAATTTTATGAAAATCGGAGGCCGTTCCTCTTTCGCTGGAACTTTATTCAAAAATTCCAGTTTATACACTCGCGCTTCTTAATGGAAATTCGTGCAGAACGCGCTACGCGTATATTTCGGTTTTCTCTCCTTCATCAACAAGTCCGTCTGTCCGAGTCGGGAACGGTGACTTTATCATTCCAAATTTGCTTTAACTAATGAGGGTTAAAAATTATATTCTTCAGAGAAGAGCTATTCTGCCGGAAATAATATTCTTTGACGAAATCCGCCCACATTTCTCGAAAATTAAAATACACAAATGCATAAATGAATCTCGTACAATAATCAGAAAGAACTGATTGGAGTCGTTTTGAACTGTTAGGGAGAAAAAGAGAAAGTACGATATGCAATTATTTCTCGAGCAAACGAAGGAATGAAAGGATTCGAGATGTCATAGACGAAATTTTTTAATTGGACTTGTCATTAAATATAGTATAAAAATCAAAATACGACATCGTTTGCAGCTTGTTATAATTTCATAATTGTACAAGTGTAACGCGCGTGCGTAAATATCTAAATATAAATATATGTTCTCAAATACTAAAACTTGGCGAATATTAATAATCATACCAACAATACGGTGTTTGCTTTTCCGTTAACTATATTAATGACTGCGACGAGGGAGTTCAATTGTGTTACTGAAATTACATTCGCGGGCAAACAAATGCATCGCCGTAAACGCGACACTGTAATCGTATCGGGTTGCTATGTATAGCGAGGATGAAAATATTTTACGAGACGTTTGTAGCGTGGCGACAACATGTTCGACGATAGCTCTATAATTATCGTACTACAATATTGCCACGCACGTTACATTACTAAAGATACGAGGGACGAAATGATAATAGTAATAGTAGCAACAACAAGAGAGGCGTGCATATATGTAACAGTTTTTCAGGTTGCAAACTTGTAATACCATCAGACCAAGGGTCGTCACTGGATGGTTGTAATCCGTCCGACAATTTAATTAATCTTCGCGCGAGCACGTAAAAACGCGCGAAATGCCTTCCGCGGCCATATCGCTCCTTTTTCTTTTCACCTTCTTTTATCCTGGAATTTGTCACTTTGGTTATCTAACGATTATCACCCGAGATACTATTTGATCGATCGTTTCTTAATGATCATAATTTTATCAGATACTAGAGTGCAGCATCAAATAATACGGTGCTTTAAAAAGGAATTAAATACGCCACGCTTTGTTCGTATCAATCGATATGTAAACAAATCGTAACTTCAGATTCACATCGATTAATATTGCATTATACAAAAAGTCGTGCATTTATTCTTTACGACACGATTAGTATGAAATGGAAAGAGACAGATTATCTTGTTCGGATTATTTATAATGCAGTGTATTAGCTGTACGAACAACAAGAGAATATCACGGTTAAATTTCTTGATACTACGTAAGAAATGTGTTTTTTTCTCTAATACTTAATTTAACGATTCGACCGTTTTGTGATAAAAGGCAAGAGATAAAAGGAATCGATGAGTCGCATATTGCATTCTCTTATAAAGAAAATCGACAAAATACTTGTATAAACTATTTTCTGTTCTGTTTTAGCTATGTATCTCCTTTTAAAATGGATATTAATAATAATACGATACTCGGCATATCTATTTTTGCAACCAATAAAACAAATGAGTTATTTTCCGATCTCTCTCGATTTATAAGCGTAAGCTCGTAGAGATAGAGTGCTGTGCAATCTCATCGTTTTCAATATTCCAGCAACACAAATTTATCCCCAGTTATTAGGTTTACCTTTTCGCGAAAATACAATACGCCAAGAGGAAATTTGCAAAGTGTGCTACGTCATGACGATGGTTTTTGCTAATTTCTGATATGACTTCTTGTTGACAACGATTGTAAGGCGTATTGTGAATGAAACTAATGCATTACTCGATTGTAATTTAACATCAAAAGAGCCCAAACGCGCTAATACTCGTTGACTAAAGCCTTTGCCAGTTACGGGATCACAAATGGAATTAAAGGACGACTAAAAGGATAATCCGTAGCGTCAGAGAGTCGGGCGTATTATCCGAATAAATTTATATTAAAATAAAAATTTGAATAAATTTGTTCGACCTTACGGATGAAATGAATATTAGATTTATGGATAATGAATGAAAACATGTTCTCGCACCTATTTATGAATGACAGATATGAATTTTTATACGAATAAATTTGGATTCGTTACTTAATGCTTATATTTAGTTTGTTCTATTATCGTTTTACATCTAATTTATCATTGCAAATAAAATGTACTTAACTCTTTACGCCATATATCCGAGCTTAGAACCGCAACAGAGATACATTCGTCTCTTTTCATTTCTTTTCCAAATATCGTGTGGTTCGCAACCATAATACACCTTTCTTATATTATTAGATCAAATTGAAATAATTCTCGGCTTAGTTACTGCGAAGAACGTCATCATTCTGTTTACGCGTTTGTTTGTTTCGCAGCATCTCGCGCATACGACTTCGAATCGGCTTGAATCTTACGTGGGAGAAACTCGAAGGGAATCTCGTCTTAAGAATACGAAGATTATGTTTTGCATAAGCTTCAACAAACTTCCGCTCTCCTTACTCGACATTATCTCTTTGTAGTCGACTTAAAAGGCGGATGCAATTTTACTTTACGGATAATTAATAATTAAATATCACGGAGCTTTCAAAGGTAGCGGAGCAATATGGTGCGAAGCTGTGATCGTCTTATCTTCATTGGATATCATAATGCTTGTGTTTCGCGAGTGAAGGAGAAAAAAGAGGAAAATTGAATCGCCGCGTCGAGCTCTCGTGTGCGTAATAAATTTGCTGGACGCGTATTGCAAAAGGCGGGCGAGACGGCCGAGTAGCGCGCGAGTGGGAAAAAGAATAACGACGTGCTAAGAGCGATACGCTTCAATATGCACCGGTAAGTACGCGAATGATCCTACCGGAACAGAAGTAAAACGAATGTCGCGATGAGGGGACATGTCATAAAGGAGCTACGAGGAGGAAAGGCACGTGCCCGGTATTTAGGAGAGGCAGTAACGTAACAATAGGCAAGTACAGGGGTGGAAACGGTAATGGTGTGTCGCGGTTCGCCCGAGCTTACTTTTATATCTCGCCAGGGAACCTCCACCGTCGTCTCCCTTTCTCTCTCTCCCACCGCCGTTGTTCCTCTCACACGCGCATTCACACACGGTTGTGACTTTCAACGCCCCTTCTCGCCTCCTCTCTTTATCTCTGCCTCCCGCGCCCGCCGCGCACTATTCCGTCTCTCTCGCTCGGTCGCGCGCTTTTTTACCAGCCTAGAGGTAAAAGAGAAGCGAGTAAGACTCGGTAAAGCTCCGCTTTGTCGCCGGTCTCTCCCTTCTATGTTATTAAATCGTATGTGTTGAACCCTTTTCCGAGCGGAGTATTACGACGCCGCAGTCGCCACTTAGAGGCTGCCTTACAGCTGCAGTTGCACCAGCAGCAGCCTATACTTTATTTGTACTTCTGCTCTCACGAGAAATCTAATTGTCCGAAATCCGGTTACGCGATTTCTTTTTGGAGCCGTCGCTGACTTTTAAGCGGATGCGGCCTTTGACGTATCGGACGTTGCACAGCGAAGACTTTCTGTGAGTTCAGTTTGTTCACTTTCCGGTCGAATCAACGTCTGATAATTAGTGTGTTGGGTAGATTGAGAGGAAGCAAAAACATTTACGAACCTATAAAAAGTTTGTGAATGAATCTAACGAAGTTGACGTTGAAAACGTTTAAATATGGGAAACCTAAAACGTGCTTGGCTGTCTATTTTCAAATTGTTCCAGCAATACTCTTCAGATTTTACCTCGATGTTATTTTGACATCTCAAGTGTCTTTTCTCGCGATAGTTATTAAATTACGACTTTCGCGTGAAAATACCGTATTGATCTTCGCTTTACGACGTTAGTTAAAGGATTGAATACTGAATGTACTTACAGTCAACTGACACCTTAATCTGCTTGCTAACTGTCGGTGGTATGCCGTTGCTGGCGATACATAAATATGCACCCATATCTAGTCTTGAAATTCGCGCCATTTCTAGTGTCTCGCCCTCCCATTCCGCCACTGAAATTGCAATCGTACTGTTTGTTATATACGAATGGTAGTGCCTTACTTTAAAAAAGTCGTAATTTCTTTAATAAGGCGATAAAATTGTAGGATAGTTCTAAAAAAATATGACTCCAGTGCGCGTTTGAAGAACATATTTGTTTTACCACTCAAGAACGGATATTTTGAAAATAGATGTTTCACGGGAAAAATAGATTTTTGTTACGGAAATATCAAAAATAGTTTACTTTTCACGTGCAAAATGATAACAGGCATTATTCAAAAAAAGAATAAATTGTTTAGGATCGCGCTTTGCAGGGCGTGTAAGTTACACGTCATCTGACTCGAATACATTGTGTATAATCCTATTATTTATTTAAAAAAGTACATTTAATCATAATGTTCACTTGCCGAGTCTATCTAATTCATAACTCTCTTAACTATAAAGTTTCTATTAAATCGTACATACCGGATAAAGTTTTGTTGATCGAGATCTTGGAACCATCATCTCTCTTCCAACGAATATTGGGCGTTGGACTTCCGGTCGCTTTACAGGTGAGACTCACGTTGGCACCTTCGCGAACAATTGCGTCCGACGAACTTTGCGAATCGTCGATGTTCGGTGGCACTGTAACAAGAAACGATACTTTTCAGTTTGTCTTTGTAAATTAACAACACTGTCAATCACATCTGATTAATTTAATTTGCACGTACGTTAAAGTTACTAAAAAAATATTACGCTACGAGAAGGAGTGAGGAGAATTTGGGATATCTTACGTATTCATTTTGACACATCCCGCTATGCGAGTAATTCACAACTCGCGCACTTCTACGAGATGCAGATTAATTTCTGTCTTGAGGATAATTCTGAATTTATTTCCTCTGCGAGGCAACAATTGCTCGTTGAAGTGCGCCTTAATTCCCATCTTAAATGCATTCTTATCCCTATAGCTTTATAGAATCTTACGAGATGCGCGTTACTTGGTATATTAGCATCTGCTTTTTAAATAAATAATACGTATCAAATTTGTTATCTCTAGCACATTTTTTTAATATTTCGTGTTCTTTTATTATTTACTAAAAAAAATTGCGGAGCTATCGTAAGAATGAAGGTTTGTGTATGAAACGTCGCGTTGAATTTTTTATTCAGTTTACTGCACTACGCAAAATAATGAATACATTTAGACTTGACGATGAATTAAAGCATCAGCGATGTGCCACGGTGCTTTCGATACGTGAGTTTGAGAGCGTAGGAGCTGGAGAAAGAGGTTTATTTTCAGTTTTTTTTTAAATGTTTGAAACGCATTATTGATAACCATATTACGGGTCGCGCTATGACAGCGATATCATCGCGTATCTCGTATTTATGCATATCGACCACGTCGTCGCTTCTCTCGAGTTAAACGGCTAACCGAGAGGCGTATAATTCAATTATATTGTCGCCGTGATAACGGAAAATATTAGTATATGGACATACGTCGTCTGCAACGTTGACGTTGATCTGGAAATGCAAGTTGCAAGATTGGCTAACGTGCCTAAAGCGATATCAAATATTCTGCCGCTTTCGAAAATACGACACACGAGAGCAAATTGCTCTTTTTACTTCGTATCCTGTTCAGTCCTCGTAATAATTGACAATTGACGAGAAATATTTATGGTACGATGTGCAAAATTGACGCATATTATTTATCATCTTACATATCAAATAGCGTCACATATGTGGTTTCACGACCGACCCGTGTCATTATGTGGTGACAGATTTTTCATATCAATCTACTGTGCGCTGATAGCAAGTATTAACCCAGTATTGAATTACGGTCGTATGGTAACTTGCGTTGCAGTGAGGGATTGCACAGATATTTCTGCGCGAAATTTTCCGGATGAGGTATGCGCGAAACTTTATATTTTATGTATGATGGCAACTCTCTTTTCCTATATCGAAAAAAATGTAATTACAATCGCATCAGTGAAAGAATTATACACGGTCAGGAGAACAATTTTTTTAGTAAGTGTTACAATAATCGATGATAATAGCGCCTTACATGCATATTGTTACTATTATGTTTTGTACTAAAAGATCTAGAAGGAGATATAGTTAAAGCTGAAAATGGTTATAACTTCAGCGGGATTTTTCTGTCCATATTTCCTTGATTAACCTTGGAATACGAATGAGTGCTGCGCGAGATACCGAGACAAATTGGCATTTGCTTCATACTCGTATCTGTATGTCGATTTTTCGCTGAGATATGATCGTTTAAAGGGTTTCAAGTTTTCAAAGGCGGCATGTTATCGGCGGTTCTTTGCCGGCGGCTGCTAACACGCGTATAACACATTGCATCGTGTTCACGTAGTGGAGTTCTTCACACCTACCCCTTCTTCGAATAGCGGCGCGGTCGGCTCAAGAGAGTGGCGCATATCATTATCGTCGGGCCTCGGTCCCCGTGAAACAATTTGCCGCTTGTCGATATCTCTGCATAGAAAAATCGTAGCGGCGTGCAAACAAGCGAATTTTAAAATCGACACTGTCCCATGAGTGAACGTTCGTATCTCTATATTACCGATTAAATTAGCGGTATAATGAAATGCTGTTTATTTTCTCATTTTTTTGAGTTAAATTTAAACTTGTAACTGAAAACGCGATTTTGCTTCGAGCAAATCAGAAAAGAATGAAACAAATCGCATTGTAAGCAATATAATTTTCTAGCTATTCCAGAGTTTATGTAAAGACTTTTGTTACAGTCTAATGTTTCCAATTTGGCAGATCGTCTTTAATTCGAATGTCTAATTATTCATAAAATCTGATGTGATCTATTAATTAGCCTTCCGCAAATTGACATCGAAAATATCTTGCTTCATCGAGATATTTATGGTTGCGGTGGTGTATGAATTATTTATTATACGTTCTGTACGTGAAATTGAATTGTATGTTTAATTTATTTCGATCGTGATATTGGTAAACGAATTTACCGCAATTATATCGATTATATCAATTTCTAAAACAAAAATATTGCCCATTAATGGTGCGCAATAATCAATTATTAACTTATTAGAACGCATCGTTAAATTAACTATAACGCGTTGCATTAATGTTCTTTTTTTTCAATAAATAGATTAAAATCGATATTCTCTGGTATAAGACCGAAATCGATGAAACCTAGGATGAAGTCTGGACTATGAATTTCAGACATTAAAAAATAGAAAATCTCACAGAGGGTTAAAAGGGAGCTTTCTTTTATTGATATTAAAATTGCTCATTAGCGATAAGAGTGATCGTTACGCATGCTCGAATGTCGTTTTTTGAGGCAAATACGAAGCTCGCTTAAGTACGTACAGATAAACTGTACGCACTGAAACAGCGGTTACCACTTTGAACGGTTCGTTTGGTAACACGCACCGCGTGTGAAGAGGACCGTTCTACATATTCATTCCGAGTATAAACTCCGCTGCGTATCTAGTTTCTCCGTGCCATTTACTCCGTGCAATTTTGCACATTCGATACTTACGTCGCGTTTTATTTTTCATACTGTTATCATCGTTGTCACGTCAATTCTTGTCACAAATTTGTCTTGCGCTGTGCAGGTAACATAATAGTCGAATTGACGAGAGGAGATAACGCATACGGTAAAGAATTTTCCATTAAAAATGATCTACTGAAATTTTGTGTTACTTTAATATGGGGAATGTGTAAAGTTTACCGTGCAGTCTACGACAAGATAATTTTTTCGGTTCTCGCATGATTCATTCCACCGTTAAAGAAGGAAAAATTAATAATTCTTCGGCAGATCCCCTCGGCGATTCCCTCAGCGAACGGCATAAATTGCTCCATCCGATCTAACGTCGTTATTCAACGAGAAGAAAAATCCGCCTTTTTGTCCGTCAACAGCCGGGCGGCGGCCGGCGCGCGTACAAGGGAACGCGGCCAATCCTATGAATTACCGCAGGTGTCCGCCGATATCCTGCATTAATGCTAATGCGGGGTGTTACCGAATTGTTGAACAAGGGCAGATTGAACGGCGCGGAGGCGGCCCTCTCGCCATCCTGCACGCCGTTATACTGCAGCCGCGTAACGGTCTGTTGATGCATTATTCAAGCGCAAACGCCACCCCTGCCGCGCGTGTTGCCGCGCTGTTGTTGTGCGTTAACTTGTCCTAAACTCCCGGCAGCACAACGACGTTCGAGAAACGTCGGAGGAGCTCCGCTCAACCATTCGGCGGTGCTTGGGGGTAAACCAAACGCGCGGTAACCGTATTCTTACAGCGCTGCGCAAAAATATACATTATCGCGTCTACCACGTATCGAGGTCACCAAATATTAACAATTCTAAGGAGGGTTGCCCGTTCGTTCGTCGCGTCGGGGGATTCGGCTTTCTCATTTTCTCCGCGGTCAAAGGAAAATACCGTCCCTTTTGGCGCGAAAGCAGTCTGTCGATTTTCCCACTTCTCCCGAGAGGTGTCAAATTTGAAATGAAATGCTATTTCAACGGTACTGTACACGATTACTTCACAATAAAATCGATAACCACGGAACTTTAAAGAAGAACTCAAGGATCGTGGGGCAATTTCATTCGGCGACGTGGAGAATGTGCGCGGTCTTGATGTCCCGTTATCAGTGACACCGCTGAAAAGTTAACGATCCTTCGTGAGAAAATGACGAAGAAAATAATAAATAAGAAAATAAGTGGAGTAAAATTCTTTTATACGAAACGTTGCTTCCAAGAGAGTTGAAGATTGTACATTTCACGAGATCTTTGAAAGCTTGGATGACTCTCAACGACCCTCGTAATACGTTGGTAAACTTGTTTTGACGGCGGTTACGCTGTCGACGAGGTTTGACGAGAAAATATTACAAACGTGAGTTTTTAATAATTTAGCATGCAATTTTTCATTATGAAGTGTCTTGGAATCACGTTTCCTTCCATAACAGTTCCCTTGAAAGTCGCGCGTAAGTTGCATTGCAATTGATTTTGTACAGTCATGATGAGCTGTCTTAAACATCGATTTGCTCTGACGTGGTTAACATTCGAAAGACGAAACGCACGCCAGGATGACTATTGAATTTCGTCGTGAGTGAAGTAATGGTAAACTGTAGATGGCTAATTACGGTGTACCCTCAGGGTATCTAACATCAAGCTCATATCTCATTCTAACAATAAGCAGTCTGATACGTCATGTAGCTCACTCGCTTATTGATAACGCAGAAATTTCATACGGCGGAGACACATCGTAAGATTAAAATGCAACATACGTTTCGACGCTCGGATCAACAGGTGTCTTTTTCTTTTCTTAAGTAATCTCGCTCGCGGTAATTTATGAATCTCATGGGCTTCAATATATTTTTTTATAATATCTATCAAAATGATGTCTGGCATCGTTTTAGCTCTTTTCGGTGTACGTGAGCATCAGTTATCGCTTCAGTTATCGCGAAACGCTGTTACAACGAATGCAAAGCCACTGTAACGGCGTCTAGGAATGGAAGTATCGCATCGTATCGTTAATCCCGCTTCTTCTCCCTTCGAACGATCGTTTAATCGACAATCTCTCTTCCGCGGAATAAATTATCCATCGCGCGTGGCGGCGGTAAATGTGGAGACAGATAATACCTAAATGCATCGGCGGAGCTTGTTACGCTCGATGTAGTCATGGCAGATTGCCATTGTGTCGGCTTCATCGGCATTATCACGAAGTGCCGAGAGAGTACCGCGAGGAAGTCTTGCGTGTGTTTGTGCAGCGGAGGGCAAGAGTCCCGTGGAAACAATTAATCTAGCCCTCTGATTACTCCTCCGACGCATCTCGCAGCCCCGTCCTCTGTATCGTCGCTCTCGCTTTAACGTTGGGTCACAGTCGAGATGTCAAAACTCGAGATATTAATGTGTTCTCTCAGCTGGCGGAGGGATGGCGGACCGCCTCTCCGGTCTTATAGATACTCTCCTCTGATTAAATTATTATAGCTCTGTAAGATTAGCGGAATACTCTTTCACTCTCGAAATCTGCTTAGACGGCCGCGATAAAATGCTTATGTTCCGTTTCATGTAAACTTCAGGAACGGGGCGAGCTGACTCCATTACGCGAAATGAGATTTATTCGGAGCGTCTAATGGGTTCACAGTGCGATACGATAAGGTCGTAAATAACAATCGATCGGGGCATGTTCTCGGTTACGGATAATGATGCTGCAGAATTAACGTTAAATGTTCTACATGGTTCTTTCCTTCTTGAAAACGGCAAAATATGGAAAATGAAACGCCCCCTAAAGATAATATGTCAAAAACAAAATGCATTAATAATATTAAATTTCTAAGATATGATTCCTCGTCTTTTGCTCGAATCCTAAAATAAGCCGTAAGTGCATTTGATTAAAAAGGCATCAGTTCACGAGATTCCGTATTTCTCGTGAACTGATGCCTTTTTAATCAAATGCACTTACGGCTTATTTTAGGATTCGAGCAAAAGACGAGGAATCATATCTTAGAAATTTAATATTATTAATGCATTTTGTTTTCGACATATTATCTTTAGTGGATATAACATATAACAATGCTTATGAATTTTATGATGTTATCGCAGATAATATGGAATTTAGTTAATAATTCATCTCCTGCATTAATTATGTCACTATCTTTATAACGTTTCTAGATTTGGAAACTGAGAAGATCGAATACACGCCTTGTTAATATGTGACTGCAAACTTGTCTGTTATTGATTATTATAATAATAATGGAGAAAAATCGATGAGAAAATATATAATATGATAAAAATATAGTGAAGCGACGTTAACGCGCAAAAGATAATATATTGCGCCAATATAAGTAGAAATCTTACCTACGACGTGTAGATAGCCATATTGCGTTTTGGCGGCGGCAGTGTTAATCTGGCACATGTACTTTCCCTTGTCCTCCTCGTGCACGTCGTTGATATGTAGGAACCAGGTCCTGTGCTTATCGTGCGACACGGATATCCTGGGGTTCCTGGTAATAACATGATTCTGTACCGTCAGAATAGCGCTCTTGTCGAAAAGCATCCAGGCCACCTGAAACGAGACGAATATCGTGTTACATCGTAAACGCAGTTCATAGTCACGTATCAATTACCACGAAGTTGTTGTCCCTTCTTACAATAATACTCGTCGACAGCTTCCCATATTTGTTTATTAATCTTTTTATCTGTAGAATCATTACTAGTTACAGAATATCATTTTTTTCCGATTTGTGCAAGTAAAATCAAATTCGAAGAGTATAAAAAGTAGAAATATACCTAACAACAATATAAAGAGGAAAGCCTGTCTGTAAAGAGACAGATGATCAATGAGGCTTTCAAGCATGGAATGATCTACAAACCTTCCTGTTGTTACAGATATTCAGCAATGGGATAAATCGCTCTGGGACTTCGAGGGCGTTCCTTACGGATATCCAGCATGGTATTCGAACTAACGCGCGATATATGCATACGTGCGCCCGATGTTTTATACGAGCAAAGTTTTCCGTCCGCGAGAGTGCACAATGCCGCTGTTCGCCATGCGGACAAATAAAAAGCGTACCCCCTAGAGAGCCCAATGCTCCCATCTCTTTTGTTAAAATGACCACTTATTGAAAATCCGGATGGTTGCTCTTCGCCGCCGAAGAACCACTTTGCGTAGCTCGTCGAATGGACGTCGATTGTTATTCTCGTCGAGATATGTAGTTTTCCGGTTTTTCTTCCGCGAAGAGACGGGAGATGGAGATAAGTAGAAAATATCGCGACAACGACCGGGAGTGCTCTGAGATATTTAGCCGATTTCCCTATTCACGTCGAAGAAAGTGAAGGCTGAAGAAAGGCAACAAAGGAAAACGAGGGAAAAGAATGAAGAAAAATTCTGATCTCTCATTCGCTCGCTGCGAAAAGTCCCTGGAGAAATAAGAAGGGCAGCAACGTGCTCTTTTCCCGGGCTCAAGTACGAGGAATGTTGCATTTACTTCAACACAGCCGCTCCTTTTCACAATGTGCAAATGCACTGTTGTACGGACAAGCTATATCGTGATAACGTCGCGACGCTAACGGAGGTTTGTGTGTGTGTGTGTGTGTGTGTGATCAAACTAAAAGTGAACGATTTGCGCGGAAAAGTAGCAATACCACGATGTATTATATTTTTAACAAAAATAACACATATATATTAGAGAGAGGAAGAGGGGTATATTCGCGTTTCAGTTCTCTCCCAAACATGCCGAAATAAAGCCGTCAAAACTCCTTACAATCGACTAACGCAATAAACGATCCTACCAGCCATAAGTCTCTCGGCAACTATTCGGAACGAAAATCGCGATCGTTCCTCGCGTCTTCCGAGCGTGACCGAAATCTCGGTCCCATTTATCCAGTTGCCGGCAGTTATCTCTCCGCCCTCGCGAAAATATACGAATCATGGAATCATCACGCGTAACGTCGATGGAATTGTACGGATGTCGCGAGAGAAAGAACCAGTTGACACTCTCGTCATGCGAACTTTCCGCGCAACAATCCAGCGACGATCTGGGCTGGACATTTTTCCAACAATACTTCATTGAAAATGAAATAAAACGCATTAAACGTCTCGGATGTAATTTCTCCGGTACTTCTAGAGAACTTTCCTTAACTCCGCGAGGTTCTTTCGAAAATTCTTGGAAAGGATCCGGATACGAGAGAAAATAAGTTGTACAAGGTAGACACTTATGCTCCATGCGGGATGGAAAGCATCTCCGACTCACTTTATCCTGCCGCGCGGAAAATCGAGCGAGATACCAACGTGATTCGCGATCATTTTCTCCGATCACCGGTAATTCCGAGAGACGCGCTTCTTTCACACTACGATAATCCACGTAAAAATGTCACAAGGGAAAACGATAAGATACTCTCGGTGCAACATCGAATCCCTGACTTTTCCCTACGTTTTTCATGCCTTACTTCCATTTTGTCACGCGGATAATCCGACTCGCGGATTCAAAATTGGCAGTCCATTAAGCCCGAGACATGCGCGGCACGACGCGAGCTACTTGGAAGGCAAGTTCGCATCTTTTCGCCTTTCTTTCGAATGCATCAACATGCAAGCCGCACGAAAACTAAGATGGATGCGCGAACGAGAGAGGGGTTTGCTCTAGGAGTTTGTTCCCCAAGAGCATGGTACGAAGCATTGATTCCTCGGTGCGAGAGGAGAGTTACAGCTTTGTTTACTACGACGAGGGCGACGAGCTCAGCGCCGTCCAGTCTGGCTTGGCGCTGGCTATGCGCTGTCGGTGTCTTCTTTTCTTCCACGTCTCCTTCTTCCGTCCCCCCCCCCCCCNCCCCCCCCCCCCCATGAAACGTCTGGACCGGGAGACCTATAGTTAACGTCAAGATCAACTCTCCTCGTCCTTTCAAACGTTCTTCTTCCACGCGAGTACTCCATGGTCTCCGCGTACGCAAACACATTCACCACCAGGCTAGGCGGTTTATACAGAACCATGGAAAGCGAAAGAGCGGCGAACTGAGCCAACCGACTGGTCGTGCCCCTCCCGACGTCGACTCGTACCACTAGCCATTGTGTATGTAGAAAGTTGGAGCACATTCCGCCTGAATGTATTACAACCACTTAACCCGCAAGCTGTCGAGGCCGCCGAGAATTCATGCGCCGTATGAACCGCGCTTAACGGAGGTGATACTTCGTTTAATCGGCGCATTAAACGCTCCCTAATTAGTAGACCCATACTCAATTACGGAGAAATCGTACGAATTCTTTTCTCCGTAATGTACGTCGAAGTAAATTAGTTTCTTCGCATGTCGTCCCACGATTCCGTAAATGGACGGACTGATCAAATATATCGGGAATTTTGTTATTTCGCAAATGGACGTATAATTTCACCTGAATTCGTTACGCATTTTCGACGAAGAAGGATCCTTACGACACAGTCGATAGATTTATAATTATTTATTCAAACGCGCGCGCGAGAGCTTTTGGCATATTTTGCCTATTTGTATAATCGAATGCTAACAGTGACTCGCGGGAACATTAATGCATGATTTATCGTTTTTGACGTTAAAATTCATTATGTTTACACAGAGTCGCACAATATATCATAAAATCTCATTTACAGCAATTTGCGTATGCATATAACTTGTCGAGTTTATTTATGAAACTCTATAGATAACTCTCCTCTGAAGACTCTCTCTCTCTCTCTCCAGTTATACTTCTTTATCAACGTAATATTATCGAATCTAAACGACGCGCAACTCTGAATTCTCGTATCGCGTTCACGACAGTATTCTGTTGCTCTTTCGTTGTCCGGACAACAAGAGACTCTTGCGGCGATTTGTAACGCGCCAAAATGGCAAAAAGAATCGGTTAACATCACCGAACTTCCGCTGTACTTCCTCTCCTCTATATAAAGTTGGATCGAGTGCTCGAACTGTCGAGAATTCGGTTTGTTTGACCATGTCCCCCTACAACTTGATTTAACAGATTGCACACGATAAATTGTGTCCCGCCATACGATCGAATTTGCTGAGGCTGAATTCTCTTATAGTTCATTTGTACGATGGTGGTGCGTCCGGTCTCTTTCTTTGTCGTGTATCTTCTCGCAAATTTCTCGAGTCTCCGTGCGATGAATGAAGATGCAACAATAAGTGAGTTCGATTCACGAAGCTTCTTCATTAGTAGATCCTTCTCACCTCATCCTCATACTATACTACCATACGAGAACTTAGGACACCCTTTGGATAAATGTATTAAGACCACTTATCCCACAAGCTGTCGGTTCCTCCGAGCTTGTAGACAACCTCTTAATTATCATAGAACGCTAAGCCATGCCATTGCACAAGCTGGAAATATGAGCGCCATCGTAAGCGCTAAAAGCACCTCGAAACTTTGTATTAAAGATTACGAATGGAATGAAATTATCTTGATTCGCGCTAAGTACAGGACTTTTCATCGAACGGTAGGGCAAGTACAACGTATTTTTTAATGACTTCTGAAAATCTCTCAGCAACGATCGACTGATAACGAGAGGAATATTTTTTTATTTATATACACACATGCTTATTTCTATATCTTCGTTTTTATATTTCTTCGAACGATCGAGCGTCATTGTTGGATCGTAAGGACAACGCGGAGACGCTGCTTCTTGTCAGCCAAGACGACACACCGCGTAACGTTGCGCACCGTATATGAGTCATTTCGTTGCGCCTTCATGCCTTCCGCTTGTCAACACGTTCTTCCGAGCGGAGTTCAAACGTTCCCTCGGTTCCGCAGTGCCGGTGGGACAGGCAGGGTGAGAGACGTGATTCAATTTAAAAATCATTCGCTAAGTGCTCGGTCTGAAACATCCTTTTTTATTCGAGAAAACACACCGCCTCTCTCGCTTCTTCCCGTCGACCATTTAACTCCGCGCGCTTTAATTCACGTTGTCCTGGCGGACCCTCGGCGGTCATGAATCCCCCTTCGACGTTTCGACGCCGAAATATGGGCGGTCGCGCGGACCTGGCAACGCCGTTGCGGTTTAATCGCCACGTGACAGTCTAACAGTCTCGCATTACGCTTTGTTCACTTGGCGAAAGGAAAAAATGGAACGCTTTGCGAGATCGCGTTATCGAGCGTTATACTGCGAGTTTAAAGAGAGCAAGCGAGCAAAATAAAGAAGTGATCGAACGTTTCAATATTCGATGTCGAGCCGACTGGCTCGAGATGCCGTAAACACGTCCAACGCGTAAAATAAGATGCCGTAGCGTGCTTCGCGTTCTTGAGCTTTAATTAATAGAGGTGACGTAAACGCTGCATCGCGTACCGATAACGGCTAGAGCTTTCATTATCTTCCAAACCATAACGGTGGAGGAAAGAGAGAGATTGCTGCATGGTGATAAAGATTTCTTTGTAGGTGAAAGCACTTCCGGGATGTCGCCTTTATTTTTTTTTATAAATGTAACTATATGTTTCCCTTCACATACATAGATTCTCCTCGGCGTTCCGCGTATAAAAGTGTTAAGGTAAGATCTATTCTATATCTAGAGGGTGAATTCTCTGATATATTCCGACGTAAAACATGAAATATC